TGTGTGTGTGTGTGTGTGTGTGTTTATACACACACACACATACAGACACACACATAATTTGGTTTTCATACAAAATTCATATACACTGTTTTATTCATATATATTGTGTTTCACACATTCCTTCATTCACATTGTGTTTCATATTATCATTCCCATATGCTGTGTGAGGGTTTGTTTGGGTTTTCCCCCCCTTCTAATTGTGTACCATAGAATCTGGTCTGACTGGCACAGGAGGAGATTGCCCTTCCTTCTCCAGCACAGCATCTGGTAGATTTGAACCACCTGTCTTTGGGATTGCAGTGCAGCTTCTTGCCACTAGGCCACCAGAGCTCCCTCCATATGCTGTGTTTTAGGCCCACTATCACTTGGTCTTTTCAGGTCCTTACTAGATCTAATTCTTTCACCCATTCAACTCAGGGACCTTCTAAGTTTCCCCCCACCCCTCAGCCCTCCTGCCCTGCCCTCTTCCCCCTTTGGACTTCCATCCACATCTTAATATCTATCCTTCTATTTTTACAATAATAGTCTTATGCAGTATTTGTCTTTAAGAGACTGAGTCAGTTCACTCAACGTAATGCTCTCCAGCCTCTAAGCCTTTTAAGGACGTTGTCGAATTGGAATCTATAGGAGCATTGCTTGTGGACGTAGACACACCAGAAAATTAACTACATAATTAATGTTATGATGTTGTGATTAGCTATGTGATTGATGTTGTGAATTATGTGATGTATGATGTCTGGGCTTTCAGATTTGGGGTTACCTGAGCTGTCAGGTGTTGTGTACTTTACTGAACAAATGGCTGGAGATAACCAAAATCTCCAAGGAGCCTGCTCACCTGACTTTTTGTTCACCAAGTGTGGAGTGGTGTCCTTTCTGGCATGAGAATCATATCTTTTTTACTGTTGTTGTTTTTGTTAGGTGCTATGCTGTTGACCTATGAACAACAGATCTTAACACTGCCCTGTCCTGTGCCGTCCTCACCGTCTCTAATGTCCATTGTTGCAGTCACTTGTTGAGGGTCTTCCTCTCTCCTCCCACCCCCACATTAGTTGATGAAGGCAACACAGAGAGCCTGAAGAATTGGGGAGCCCAGGGTAAAAGCTCAGCCTTCTGAACTGGTTCCTGAACTCATGCTACTTTAGTCTGTAGAGAACTAGGTACTTCATGGTTCCTACCATTAAGTTCCAAGTCTGTGTGGCTGCAAACACCAACTCATTCCATCCAGAGTCTCTGTCAGTTGACTGCAGCTCCAGTTGCCCTCTGGGAGATGCAGTGATTTCAAGGTGGATGCCAATCCCTGGATCTGAATGTATAATCTCTTCCTGTTTGCTGTGTGTCATGCTGGTGCACGGGGAACAGGAACATTTGCTTGTTACCATGACATCAGGTCCAGCATTATTTGGGTTATCAGTTCACATCCAGAGATCTTCTCATTTGTATTCCAAACTGCACATTTAACAAATTCATGTCTACAGTGGGAATAGTTGTGATTTAAAGAACAGCAAACATTGAGGGTTATAGCTGACATATGACAAATAATTGATAAATATTAACTTGTTTAATCCTCACAGTAGATCTATAGTCATTATTATGACTTCCACTGTCCAAATGTACAGAGATTGAAGTAAATTGTCCACACGCATGCAGACACTATCTATATTTGATGGATTGAATCTGAAGAATCTAGCCTGGAGCATGTTATCTTCACCTGTAAATGCTGCTGTTGCTGCTTCAAGCACTTGAGAGTGTCTGTTATCTTGTGGCAGGTGCTGATTGACCTCACTGAAAACTGACAAGGAAAGATAAGTGGCTTAGTGGGTAGGAGCTGTGCTGGTAACCCCAAAGTGGTTCCCCTTTGGCTGTTCGAATCCACCAGCAGCTCTGAGAGGAAAATATTGACCGTCTCCTCCAATATAATTTACAGCCTCTGAAAACCTGCTGGAGGGTCAGCTATGCATTGGCATGGTAGTGAAGTGCATTAGGTGTTGGTCTTTGCACCTAATAGCTGACAGTTCAAATCCACCAGCCACCCATGGGAGAAAGATGTGGTGATCTGCATCTTGTAAAGATTTTCAGCCTTGAAAATGCTGTGGGCCATTTCCCCCTATTCCCCAGGGTCACTTTGAGTTGGAATCAATTCAGTGACAGTGAGTTGGAGCATGCAAAGGAGGATTATTTTATTTTTTACAATTAAGCTAAACTTTTCTTAATGGTGCAGTTTTTTCCTAGACATAAAATACTTTATAGGAATTCAAGTATCTTCTCTTCCAATAAGGAACTGATGCCTTTGTGTTGATCTCTATCAGGTGCTTTCATGGAACAAGAAATTGCAAAATATATGTTGCTTTACTTGATAATTCTATTACACAATTTAGTGATAAATTAATCCTTGCTTTTGTTACACTGTACTTACCTCATCTGTGCGTATCTTGCTTATTTAGGACAACCCTATTTTCAATTTTTTAATAATATGGGATTTGCCTTCATTGTGCTCAGCTTTCCTGTGGCATGGGAACAAAATATGGTTATCAAAATTATAATGAAATCTTGACAAGATAAATTATTTGCATTGTGATCATTTTCTCTATTGTTACATCAACAATTAACCAAGTGGGTCCTGTTCAAGTTGTAATGACTTTTTTAAGTTGTAATGACTTTAAATACATATTCCATTTTCTTATGGTGAATCCTACTGTACTTTTGAATGGCATTGGAATTATGTAGGTTATGCATGATTGAGTAGTCAACATGCTAAGACTTTCAAATCTTATTTCCTTAACACCCACAGCACACAATGTGCTTGACATGGTAGAAGTTGACAAACAAAGGAATTGAATGGGATGAATGATGATTCATTCTCAACTTTGATGGTTTTCTTGAGAGGCTTCCCGTTGGATCCTGGAATTCTCTAGAATGCTTGTAGACTTGAGTCACTTAGCAAGGTTTAAAAGCTCCAGGTCTTACCCTCCAGCTATATGCCCAACACTTTTTTTGGGGGGGTGCTGAAAATGTTGTTGTTGTTGTTAAGGGCCATTGAGTTGAGCATGACTCATAGCAACCCTATGAACAAAAGACCTGAAGCCTGTTCTATAACTATGTCATTTCTCTAAGTTTATAGAGTTTCCAGAGACATGTTGATTAAGAAGTGTATGCCACTCCTGCTTCCAAGCTTGTCTTAAATCTGGGAGTTCCACCAAACACTATGCACTATGAGTAACCATTATGACATTTGACACATCAGTGGCATAGCGTTCATCATCAGAGCAACCCCAGGTTGCCTCAGTACAGCAAATTAATAGACAAGTGCTGTAACACTTAGAAGAATGTCCCAAACACAACACTAGGCCAGAGGGACTAGCTAACTTTTTTTTATTAATTTTAATAAACATATATAGAGAGTTTGGATTTCCATTCATTCATTGCCACACTTTTTTCCCTGCCCACCCCTCCCCACCAGTTTGCTCCCCTCTCCGAAAATAAAAAGAAGAAAAAAATTCCTTCATTGGTATACTGCATGGTGCCACTTTTGTAGAATGGATCCAACCAACTTTTAAATACAAAGGCCTTCCCATCAGGTCCTGACTGACTCTAAACAAGAGGCTTTCTTCCCACCACTCATTGTTAGCTAAATCCAGCAAATCCAATCAGCTCACACACAATTGTGAATGAAATAAAAACAACCAAATAGTCCACGCTGATCCTCAGCCAAAACAAGAGAACCCACCTTCCCAAATCCAACCTCTTCACACATGAGCCTCCAAACATTGAACAAAACCAGACAAGCTCCTACTCACAATGAGGTGAAGGAACAAAGAACTCTAAGGTATAACCGGAGAGCCCTACAGATGTAGTCACAATGTAGTAGACTGTTAACTAGAAAGTCGATGACTTGAATCCACCAGCTGCTCCACAGGAGAAAGATGGGCAGTTTCCTCCCATAAAGTTTTATAGCCTCAGAAACCTGATGTAGGGTCCAGCTATGAGTTGGAATCAACTGAACGATGGTGGGTTTGGTTTTTGGTTTACGGTATCACAGATGGTGGTAGAAGCGATGTTAAGAAGAACAGAGTAAACCAGCATGCATTTTTAAGCCAGCATCATTTAAATATTGGAAAACTCCACTTGATATAGTTGCCATGTTAGTACAGACTTGGGGAGGGAACCCACAAAACCCAAGCCCCTTCCCTTTTCTGGCTACACTCGCCTTTTGTTACTTTTTCCCCCTTGTGCTGACCTGTGGTCCTCATGCATCCTCTCCTTCTCTTTCTATAGCTTCCAGCCATTAACTTCAGTAGTGCCCACATGACCAAGTCCGAGCCACCCATCAAGGGGGGCAGTCACAGAGCTCGAGGTCAATGGCACGAGTCCACAGAAGCTGTCGAACTTGAAAATTTTAGGTAAGCAATCCAGTATCCCGCTCGCCTTCAGCAATCTCTTCACTTAGCCCTACACTTTATCCAGGTTCATTCTGTTGTTACTGTGTGCCACTGAGTCAAACTAACCCGTAGCTGACCCTTCAGGGGGTTTTCAGAGACAGTTAATCGCACAGGAGGAGCTTGCCCATCCTTCTCCAATGGAGAAGCAGCTGGTAGATTCGAACTGCGTGCCTTTGGGATTGCCCTGCAGCTTCTCAGGCAACAAGGGCTCCCCACCAGGCCCCCAGAGTTCTGTAGGCTTACCAGAGTGGCTAAAATTCTTAACTCCTTTTTAACTTTACCATGGTGATTTTTTTTTCCTAGTTAATGATCTTTGTGTCTATGTTGTAAAGAGAAATCACCTGAACATAGCAGACTTAAGGACTCTAGGTGACACTGACCTGGGGGTTTGGGGACACAAAGCTGACATGCATTTGGCATCATCTCAATGAGGAAGTGGTTCCGAACTGTTGACCTGGGAGGCTTGTTGCCAGCTTTGCCTTTAGCTTTTGGTCTGTCCTCTCTTGCCAGTGATGAGAAGGGGTATAAGGAGTGATTGTGGTAAAGAGATGGGGGGCTGAGAAGGGTTGTCAAAGCACCTGAGGTTTTCAGTCGGAGGGAGCTTTACTTCACCTTTAACATTGAAAGCACGGGCTATGTTTATCTGTCCTATCAACACGTAAATCTGTAGATCTCCTGGAAGCTACATGTTCCCCAAGGGCCACTCCCCGTTCCAGGAACTGGTTCTCTCTCTTTTATAATGTGCTCGGGTCATTTGGCACTAAAGCCCATTGTAAATAACGAACGCCTTGAGACACCAACACCAAGGTTATAGAAGGACCATTTTGCTGTTCTACTAGACTTCTGTTTTGTTTCGTCCTCATCTGACACCAGTGGATTTAATAGTCCTGAAAATTCACCTGGGTATTAGCAGGCTCATGGTTTTAAAAAAATACTATTAGTAAGGAGCACAAAATGCACCAAGTATTGTTAAAAATTCAGCTTTCCAGTGTCTGGGCACCAGGACACTGAGACAGCAGTCCCTGACTGGGGTGGGGGCATGCCATCCAGTGGCATTTGAAAGATGAGGAGGGTCAGCTTGAGTCAGAATTAAATTGACGGCCGTGAGCCTGGTATTTTAACTGCTCATTTATCTAGATAATGTGTCCTAATCATTGTTCCTCTCCATATGCCCATCTGGCTCCCTCTATCCAATTTTAGGTATTAAAACTTCAGAGGGAACATTGTAGTTAATACGGGAAGAAGAAATACATGTGCTTGTTTGTAATATTAATTTCTTAAATAAAGTTCCATTTTCTGTTTTTCAAATTGTTGTGTGTGTTTAGCAATGGGTTAAATCTAGTGAGTGAAACAGTTAAATTACAAAATGCTTGCCTGTTTGTTTTGTTTCAGTATAAACTACAAGAATGAGCGAAATTTTAGCAAACACCCCCAGCATCAACTATTTCAGGAGATCTTCACAGCCCTGGTGAAAAATAGACTCATATGCAGGTAAGACTGTCCTAGGAAAGAGAAACAGACCTTCACCCGTGAATACCATATGTTTACATATTTTGTCTATCAATATAATCTGAAGCCATTTACAAAATTGAGCATCACATAGTTGAAGGACATCATAAAACAAAGACCAATTAGAATGAGGTGAATCAGGAGAGAGTGCAATGCTCTAATTCTAATCAATCAGATGCTCAATTTAGCTGACTTTCCTTACAGATAAGATGAAATGGGAAAAGAATCAAGTTACAATTTTCATTCCCCACCCGTTATTTCTCTTCCTGGTATCAAAGTACAGAGAGGAGGTGACTTTGTGGGTCTTTATGAAGCAGACATTGGGTACCCCCAAGACAGCATGCTCAGGGAAGAGTTTTGTAGTGGATGCATTGACCCGGTGGATAGGCTATTCCAGCCTTGACCTTGGAGACAGAAGGATGAGTGTGGACCACTCAGCCCCAGATGATGAAGACGTTTCTTCACAGGACCAGAGCAAGTGTGGTCCGCCTTTGCTCTCCAGTCTTTCTTAATACGGGTGCCACACTGGGACGATGGGAGAAGGATTCGTCAGTAGGCCATCTAGTTTTCATCCCATACACCAGCTGTTTTCAATGGGCCCCTGATTGGGCCTAGCCTGCAAGCAAGATTGATTTTTTTCCCTCTTCTCTCTGTTGTTTGCTATTTAGAAGTGCTGACAGCCTAGCAGGTAGGGAGGTGCTCTGCTAATACCAGAGTGATACCTCCAGCTGTTCTACCAGGAGCAAGATGGGCAATCTCCTCCTGTGTGATTCACAGCCTTTGTAAATCCACTGGAGGCTCAGCTAGGAGGCGTCAATCCCGACTCAATAACAATGAGTGAATGAGTGAGCATGCCATTACTTAAGCAGTTCCTAGATGAATATACCATGGACTACTAGGAGAACAAACAGGTTCACCCTAGAGAGGGTGAAACCAGGCTGCTTCTTGGAGGCAAGGAAGTTCCATCTGACATACTTAGGACATTTTGCAAGGAGGGATCAGTCCTTGGAGAGGGATGTCATGCTTGGGAGTGTGGAGGGACAGTGCAAGAGAGGAAGACCCTCATGAAATGGATCGATTCAGTGACTAGGGTAATGGGGATAGGTGTGCCAGAGACGATAAGGTTGACACAGGATAGAGCAATGTTTAGGGGCTATTGTACATAGGTTTGCTATGAGCTGCAAGTGACTCAATGGCACACAACAACAACAGATGACTTAAATGATCAACAAGCTCAACTATTAACTGGAAGGTGAGTAATTGTCATTTATCCAGGTGCACTTTGTTAAAAAAGGCTCAGCAATGTCTTTCTTAAAAAAAAATAATAAAAAATCAGTCATTGAAAGTCTACAGGGCCAAGTTGTTCTTTAAAGCACGGTCTGGCTATGAGTTGCAGTCTATTTGATGGCAGCTTTGCGAGTTCAAGTGGGACGGGAGTATGCTGCTTACTGCCCGTGAGGGAGGCTACTATCATTTTGTCTATTCACACTCTGCCTTTTGTGCTCAACTTACACTCCCCCCTGAAGAGACACAGTCTCTCTCCCTGCGGACAAGGGGCTGCAAAGAAGCCTCACAGAAACCAAACCCATGTTGGGTTGAGTTGAGTTGAGTTGAGTTGAGTCCAGTTCATTGTGATCTTCTATTGGGTTTCCAAGGAGATAAATCTTTACAAGAGAAGACAGCCCATCTTTCACTGATATAGGGGCTGCTTTGTCCAAGCTGCCAACTTTTTGGTTAGCAGCCTGACACGTGACCTACAACACTGTCAACCCAGCTCTTTGCCATTGAGTTGGAAGTGACTCCTAGCTGACCCTCCAGTGGATTTTCATGAAGTTGTAAGTCATACAAGAGGAAATTTCTCATCTTTCTCCCATGGAGCTGAGGGTGGATCCAAACCCCCAGAGAAGGATCACCTTTGAGTTAGCAGTGTAACTACCTATGGACGAGGGAACCAGGGCTCCCTACAACATCATCTCAATCATGTCCATTGTGATGAGTCAGATAGAAGGTAATTTATAGACCCTCTTCCACCTCTCAAGGACACCACCACCAGTGCTTCTCAATGAGTGAAAGAAGGCCTTTAAGTGACCTTGAATTTGACTTAGCATTTGATTGTGATATGTGGATTCTGTCCCAGTTAAGAGGTGAAATTTTTTTTTTATTCTGAAGACTAGCAAAAGTATCATGAATAAAATGTTTTCACTAAAATAAAACCGTGACTTGTTGATGTGCATTAGCTGATGTAAGCAATAAATCATCTTGATGGGACCACCATGATGGGTCAGATAGTAAAGACATGCCTTACTGGTGACATAGTGGCTTGATGGTGGTGTCATCATTTGATGTTGATACCGGGCTACTCTTGGTATTTACAAGGTTTGGCTCCAGGACCCCTCATGAACACCAAATCCTAGAATACTCAAGTCTCTTATAGTATAATATCTGCATGAAACCTGTCTGTATCCTCCCAAATATTTTTTTACCGAATTTATTAAAATTTTATTAGAAGATTTACAGAGATAAAGTTATATTTTTAGGTTTTGGTCCAGTGCACATATATGCACAAAATTGAAATAAAAAATTGATTTTTTTAAAAAAAGTCATGTATTTCTTTTTTATTTTTTAATTATCTGCAAGTTTATTAACAAAATTTGAATACATTGTTTTCAAGAACAAATTCTTTACCTAATAGAGTAAGCACTCTACAAAAACCCGTAATTTTCATGCACCCTCCCTTATTTTTTGAGGGATTGTTCTATTTTTTTCTTTAACAATAAGAACATTTTCAACCTATGATTAATTTGGATCCAAGGATATAAAAAGCTTCAATATGAAGGGCCAATTGTATTTAGATATTGAACTCTCTCTCTCTCACTGTTATTGAGTCTCAACTACTCATTGCTGACCTTCTCTTGGGTTTCTGAGCCTGTAAATTGCACTGGAGGAGACGGTGGAGTGTGGATTCGAACTGCCAGTGAGGGGCAGCCTTCGGGTTAGCAGGACAGCTCCCTAAGAACAGTAGCCCAGAGCTCTTTTCAGCTCCAGGAGCTGGCACATGTATTTCCTTATTGATGACCCAGCTCCACCAGCTGCCATGGAGTTGATTCTGCCTTGTCGTGACCCCGGGCATCAAAGTAGGTGTATGTTTCACTCTGGGTTAACAGTACACCATCCTACAGACTATACGCCCAGATCTTGCACTGTGATGACCAAATACTCTGGTTTAGTTGAAATCAGTTCAAGATTGGGAGGGAATCTCTCATGCCTTTGTACCATGGCATAAGAAGGGGAGATTATTTGTTGGCTTCGATGATGCGTGAAGCCTAGCATCTTTACCAAGGTTATGCAATTGAGTCCCTGCCCAGCTCTGGACAGTGTACCCAGTGATTGTTGAAAGATTAATGAGCACAGCAAAAGGCCTTAGGTTGTCATCAACAATTCACATCTTGAGCTTGAAGTTGAGTAGAACAATGAGTAGTGGCGGGATAATTATGCCTGAAACGGGAATGGAAAATCAAGTCCTTTCAATTGTTTTGAGGAGAGCTAACAGTGTTTCTGAAGGATGCCTCAGGGACGATTTATTGCTCTGTACTTTGGGGAAAGCAGAAGATTTTCTGCATGAAAAAGCGCGAGGCCTCCCTGGGTCTCCCTGAACACATGGGATACAGAAATTATTAGGAAAAATAGTTGGGCAAGGCTTGGCATTCACTAGTTGGCAAAGATCCTCAGTGTTCTGAAGTCAGAAGATCTCCTTTCTTGGCCTCTCCTGGTTCTTCGTGATCAGCTCGGCATCTTAAGCTTGGACAGAGTGACTGGCTTGCAACATGAGCAGTCCCTGGAAATCCTCAAACTAGGAAGAGAGCGATTGTAAATCTCTCTGCTTTCATAGTAGCAGAAGGAATTTAGGAATGCTGAACATCAAAGGCACCCTTTTATGTTGTCCTTTGGCTGCACATGGCTTGTTGTGTTCTATTCTAAAAGCAGTTGAGCAAATGATGGGATAAATACAAAGGGCTTCCATTGTGCCTGACCCTGCATCACCTTGTTAAGACGGTCAGGGTCACCTTCCCCCGGTCCCTCTAGAATTCAAGATTAATAGAAAAACGATATTACATTTTTTTGTGCAACTTTCTATCCTTTTGTGTGTGTGTGTGTGTGTGCACGCACACCAGATTTAATTGAAGCCTTAGATTCGATTGTTGTCATTGTTTTTGTGAACTGTAGACTTGTAACTGACCCATAGCTGACCCTGCAGCGGATTTTCAGAGGCCGCTAAATGCATGAGAGGTTACCTATCCTTCTCCCGTGGAGCAGCTAGTGAGCTTCTCCCTTAGATTCAGTTAATAAATCAATGATTGAAAATTTACTATGTGCAAGGAAAAGGAGGAAGCCAAGAATGGAGACCAAAGAGGGTGAAAAATCTAAAGATGAATAAGACGTGAGCTCCCTTTCTTCCTGGAGACTCAGGTTCTACTTTGGTCAGTAAAGCCATTATCTGCTATTCCAGGAAAGAAGCTAATGTGGCACATTTATTCTATTGCAGAATTCAGTGTTATTTCAAACTGGATTCACTTACTCATCTCCTTTAGATTACTGTTATCCTAAATCATTATCTTGTTGTTGTGTTGTTATGTGCCCTCAAGTTGACTCTGACTCACAGCGACCCTGTGTACAGCAGCTCTGAACCCTGTTCTCTCTTGAGCCAACCTCGTGGTTTCCGACACACCTACCCCCATTATCCCAGTCATTGAGGCAATATATTTCATTCAGGGTCTTCCTCTCCTGTGCTATCTCTTCAGACACCTAAGCATGATTTCTCTCTCTAAGGACTGGTCCAATTTTTCCTACATTCTTCTTTCTCACATTCCACGTTCTAATCAACTAGTGTCTGTTTGCAACTGTTCTTCCTTTGTGATTCCCAATATGAAGGCTCAGCCTCCTGTACCATGTCTGCTAGTCTAATCTAAGTGTGTTCTTTTGTC